GTGTTTTAAACTGTGAGAGAATAGATTTTCTGTTAAAGCCATCTGGCTGTAGCATTTCTGTTATAGTAGCACTAGATATCTAACACAGGTCGCTTTGAGACATTTTGATTCACGGTGACCCCATGTGACAGAGTAGAACTGCTCCATATGGTTTCTAGGGTGTGATCTTTACAAGAGCAAACAGGTCTTCCTCCTGGGAAGTTAATGAGTGGGTTTGAACTACCAACCTCTCAGTCAGCAGCCAGGCAATTAAAAGTCACACCAGTGGGATCCTATGGTCAAGGGTAGTTGTTGATATGTGCCATTGATTCAAACCTGATAGCAACCCTCTATGGCAGAGTACAACTACCCCGTACAATTTCTTGGGCAATAATCTTTATGGGAGCAGACCAATGGGTCTTTTCTACCCTGGAGTGGGTCTGAAGGGTTAGAACCACCAACCTTTTGATTAGCAGTCTTAACTTTTGTGCCCCCAGGGCTCCTTCTTGGTCACAGGTATGTTACTAAATAGTGAAACCGAACTGCTAAACCCTACTGTCACTTTTCTTAATTATTGTATTACGCCAGTTCGCCTAAGAAAAGGATTCATGAACTAAAGTCATCTTATGACAGTAAAAGGTATTCATTTCCAATACTTAGAACACCACTACCAAACCATCTAACAAGAAGCCAATGGTTTCAGCAGTGTTTTTTTTTTTTTTACAAATAACTTTCATAGATTTATTTACATTTGATTACTTTTTCAACTTTTCATTGTGAATTGGGTGAATGTTTATTGAGCAGATCAGCTTTCCAGTCAACAATTCATACCCATTTTGTTTCATGTCTTTAACCCCCACAACACATGGCCTGATTCCCAAATTTGGGTGTTATTCTAGGGCAGAGGTCACACTAATCTCCGGATGCTTCCATATAGAGAGCACTGAGCAGTGTCTGGTGAATATAGGTTCTTTAGATCAACCTCAGGCCTAGAATTGGGACTTGGAAATTTGCATTGGTGATAGGTATTTCATTGTTAATCACTGCACTGTTTCAGAGTACAAAAGAGACCTTATCTCGAATGTTTAAAGAGAACATTTAGTAAGTCTTAAAAGAGACAAAGATGGCACAGGCACATCATCTGATAAGGCCACCAACAAGAGTGTGAAATGGGATCCAAGGGTTTTAAAAGGCCATGGGAGGGCAAAGGAAATGGTCACGAAAGCATGATTCGTGGCAGATCAATATATCACAGTTTCAGGTAGGGCTACAGAAGCAGGAACTGGAGCATGACTGCGACATGTGCACTGTTAGATAGAAGGGCTTACAAGATTTGTCCAGGGCATTCCAACCAAGGCAGTTGGGGCGAGACTGACGGGATATGATCATGATTACGTGAACCCCTGTACTGTCTCTCCAGTATGGTGACTTCCATCGAGGACACACCTAGGCAAACCCCGGAGAAAGACTGCCCCTCCCTGGGCTGGACTGAGAATGGAGGCAATCCACTCTCCAAGGCATTCTGCCCAAGGGCAGATTATCTACACCCGTGGTTAATGATCTGAAGGCATTATCTTTGTAGGGACTTTGCTAATGGATTTTGGCTGTCAATGCCATCCACAGCCTGTTGCAAACCACTGTGCTCAGAATTTAAGCTCTAATACAACATCAAGTGACTCTATGTACACAGGTCTTGGGGAATACTTCATCTATCTGGGAAAAGCCCAAAGAAATATCCTTATTTTACTAAAGTTCATCTCTTTTCTGATTGGAATATTCCTAGTCTCTCCTAACTAGTCCAGCTCTCTAATTTAGGCACCAAGCTGACCAAGTGCTTGGCACTAATATTCTTCCTTTACAGAGTGAACACCACAACTGATTAGGTCAGGTTTGATGATGTTACAGTTTCACACTTTTTAATACAATCAGGGATTCCTGAAAAAAAAAACAAAAAAAAACCCAACTTTAAGCGTCTTTGTTTTACACTTCTAAACCACCATTTAGATATTTATAATAAGTCATCCCTGTAATTATTTCCTGCATCATATTTTTCCTGTTCCTAATTTTGAAGTTGGTTTTTAAAATTTTTCTCTCCCCACCCTTCCTATTTTAGTACTTAACTGACTGTACTTTCGGATTTGCCTAATAAGTTAATTTCTTAATAAAATATGAACAATTTGTAAACATGCCTCTAAGAACTTTCCCTTCCCAGGGTTTCCAAACAGCATTTAGAGTAAATTATAAGGTCAGCAAGTGTTGGAAAAAAAAGCTACATTCTGTTTGGCTTGATTTATAGAATATATACAGTATATTTATTACAGTATATATGCAGTATATTTATTACAGCTTAAATTCTGAGCACTCCGGTTTGCAAGGGGCTGTGGGTGGCAGGGGCAGCCCAAAATCCATTTGCAGAGTCCCTACATAGATTAAACCTCCACTGAATTCTTCTGATCATTAATCAAGGATGTAGCTAATCCTGGCTGAATACCTTGGAAAGTGGATCAGCTACACCCTCCTTCATCAGCCCTGGGAAGGGCAGTCTCTCTCGTAAAGGTTTGCCTGGGTTATGTCTGTGATGGAGGTCACCGTATTTGGGACAGTACAGCGGTCATGTAGTCATGAGTCTTGTCCTATCAGTCATGCCCTGACTGCCTTGGTTGGAAAGCCCTGGATTTAGAATCGTGTAATCCTTCTCTCTAACATGATGATCCCGTTCCTACTCTTGTAGTCCCTCCTCTAACTGTGATATATCAAGCAGCTGCCAATCATGAATTTGTGACAGTTTCTTTGTGTTCCATGTCTTATTTAAACAATTGTGTGGCTATAAATCCTAGCATGCCATTTTGACCTGTGCTCATGGTCTCCCTCATCTGCATGACCTGTCCGTGCCTCTGTGTTGTCTTTGTCTTTTGAGACTTAAATGTTCTCTGTAAATTATATTTGAGTTGGAGTCTCTTACACTATCTGAAACAACAGTATAAATATAAACGCTTATCAAAAAACAAATGTTTGCTACTCTAGACTATTTCTTTCTATTAAAAACAAAGGCATGTGCCAGAGGTATAAATTTGCTTCCCTCTCATTTTAAAAGTTTTCGCATCCCAGCTAAAAGGATGACAGTGAATTAAATGGGAATCTAAATGCATAAAGATGAAGAAAGGAACTAAAAAAAAAATGCTTTGTTGGTTGGTAGTAGAGATTCCAGGCAATGCAAATAAAGTTTGAAAACTGCAGTAAAATGATAAAGAATTAATCCTTTCTCTAAACAAATATTACCATCAGTATTTAACAACAGTAATATTTTAAGAATTAGTCAACATGCCATAAAGATGATCTGAAAGTACTGATTGAATAGATTTGACATTCAAGTAGAATCTGGAAATGTGATCTTAATTTCACACAGAATCTTAGAGGCAGACATTTTGTGAGTAAAATTAACTTCCGAGAGAACCAGCAGGGATAAAACCATCCTGCACCATGAAATCATGCTGATTTGGACTGACATTTAGTGAAAAGCCTTGATTGCAAGTTCTTAGAGAACAGTGTTCAGTGTAACAGAAATATCATACAGAACTATTCTTTTTTCCTGTTGATTGGATTAAGCAAAGTCTAGTCTAAATACTAGTAATTTAAGAAAAAGTATTTAGCTTGTCAAAGTCCCTGCCTCCACGAGAAGCCAGGGTTTCTTACATTTTCTCAAATGAGTGGAAAAGCAGTTTGTTATAAGTTGGAACGTTACTGTTTTACATTTGGTTTATTTCTTGCTTCAAATTCTCTTTAGACTTCATATTCAGAATCTAAAAATACGGAGGCTCAGAGGGTTGCTATGGGTCAATGATGGCAGTGAATTAGGAATTACACAATAGCATATAAATATACTCTTCCAAGAAATTGTTTAATCCAACAGATATTTTCATAAATTTTTTTCATAAATTCTTAATAGTTATATTAGTGAAGCTTTATAAAGTCGATATTCTATATTTCAGGATGTGTTTAGAAAGATTAAATTATTAATACAGTTTAATCCTTTGGAGAAAGAATCCTGATAAATAGAAGAAAACAAAACTCAATTATGCTAGGAAGAACAGCCACTAGTCTGCTCACCGGTTGGTAGTTCAAACCCAACAGCTGCTCTGGGGGAGGGAAAAAAAGACTGTCAGCTCCCGTGGAGTCGTACACTCTTGGAAATCCTACCTAGGGTCACTATGAGTGAGAATTAAAACTCCGTAGCAGTGGGTTTGGAATAGAATTTCTCTTCTCCTGCTAGAGAGTTGCTTGATTACAGTTTCTCCTTTCGATAAATTTGTGGATATACTCATAGGTACATAAATTTGTAACATTCCTCATAGGATCCCATCATTCTTTGTTCACCTAATTAAGCCTCCTGTCTTCTGGACTTTGCACCCCACCCTATGCACACCAAGGGAAGTTACAGCAGATGAAAACATCAAAACAAAAACGCGCGCAAGCAGTTCTGCTTTTAGGTGGAACATTAATAAGCTTTGAGTATTCCAAGCATGGATGATGTGATGCCACAGTGTGTGCACTGTGACAGGTCTAACAAACTGGAATCTGTAGTTCTAGAATTGGTGTCTGGCAAATCCATTGTATAAAATCAAAAGAGGATTTTAAACAAAAATAGTATAAAGGGGGAACAAAAGTTTCCAATTGCTTGATATAAAGGATTGGCTAAGCAACAAAGCTGCTCTCTCCGCTGAGTGATTTCAAAGATGACTACGTCTAGGATCTCTCTCACAAGATCCTTGTACTAATAGTCGAGATGGACTACGATAACACAGAGTGGACCAGAGGGAAGTACAAATAGCTCAGTTTGTACTTAAGAACACAAATAGTCGCACTGGCCCAAACGCTTTAAAGATGCAGGGTCTTGTCACAATGTTAACGTACTCAGAGAAAAAGGAACGACTTCTTTTTTCCTAAGGCTCCGAAAACTTGGGATCATGTTGTCAAATCGGTGACAGGACCTGAAGGGGCGGGAGCAGGGGAAGCCTCCTCACCTGTTACCACGAGACCCTAAGTGAGATCCTTTTTGAGGGCTACAGTAGGGGACTTCTCCGCCGAAGGGCAAGGTTCGTGGAATTCTCACCTTGGCCAAACTTCCGATTAACTGAGGAGCACAGGGATCGCTGAGGCACAGCCGAGGCCAGCTCCCCCAGCAGAATAACGGCCAAGGCTGTAACATTAGCGATTCAATTTTACAAGTTTTTGTTTGGCTCGCTTAACGCACCTGTAGTAACATTCCTCAACTGGAGAGAAAGGAGAGGAGGAGCGAAAGGGAGGGGAAATAGGGAGGGTCCTAGGCAAGGGGGAGGGGAAGGGGAAGGGGCGGGACAGCGCAAGGGAAAGCCTACGGTGGTTTGTAGCAGAGACGGTGGCGTTCCCATGGAGACGTATCCCTCCGCCGTGATTTGCATTTGATCGCTTCGGTTCCCTCCCCGTCGCTACTCCGCTGTTTCCGCTCAGCTCCTTTGTGCCGCGCAGAACGTCGAGATGACGCATGCGCACGACTCAGCCGCCGCCTATATAAGCCGGAAGCCGGGCGCTTCCTCGTAGCGCCGCTAGGACCGTTGGCGAGTCGGGCTGTGCTCGTCACGACCTGGGCACTGCGAGCTGCGAGCGAGCACGCGGGCCAGTCGTCATGTCGCGTTACGGGCGGTACGGAGGAGGTGAGTTGCCGGGGCCCGGCGAGGGGGTCGCGCTGCGAGTGTTTGAGGTATTACGAGGCCGGAGGGTTAGCGCCGCGGTTGGGAGACGGTTATTCCGCGTGCGTAATGGCGGCTTCAGCGCACGCCGTACGAAGCCGGAGGCAGCGGGGGCGGGGT